CGTGCAGAGCCTGCAGCGTGATCGGGAGCCCGGGCAGGGCGGCCAGCATGCGGCCCCGCGATGTCTGAGGCTGGCGGGGGCAGCGCCGCGACCAGTCCGCGTCCCGGGAGCGCGGCCACAGGAATGATTGCTGCGTGGGGCGCCTTCTTCTGTGTGTACCTGGTGGGGACCGTCGGCAGCCGCCCGGCGGCCACGCTGCCCGGCTCGGACCCGGAGGACAGGAGCACCCGCAAGCCCACGGGTAAGAGGAAGGATGCTCGGGGCGGGGGGCAGATCTCTCCGGCAGCCTCAGGCTGCGCTTGCCGGTACTGGGCGCCCCCTCGGCCGGGAGGAAGCGTGCCCCGTCTGCTCCCGAGGGCCACGCTTTCATCGCTGGGGCTGCAAGGGACCTCGCACATCTATCTCCCCCTGCGCTTGGGCGCCTGCGCCGCTGTCGGGAGGCAAAGCCCTGTCCGCTTGAAACCTTCCCAGAGGTTTCCGGGATGTAGGTCGTTTTCTGAGACGAAGGGAAAGGCAAAAACGTAGACCTCTTGGTTCCATAAATACATAGATCTGTATGCACGTGTTTTAATTTCGGTCTAATAAGAGGTCTCGTGTTGGACCCGCGCGCAGTAGATGTGTTGTGTTCCCAGAGGGTCCCGAGACTTTCGCTTGACAGCCAGCGCCTCTGGATTGCTGCTCCAGCCTGCGGCGCGATAAAGGCCTGCCAAAGATGAAGGGCAACGAAGGTGCGCCGGTTCTCGGTCCGGCGAGGAGAGTGATGGGAGGGCAGATCGAATGAAACAGGGCTCATCTGTAGCGATGGAGCACAGCGCACGGTAAATCCCGGGTTAGTCGTAAATGTAGGCACCTTTCGGACCACAAGCAAGAGGTAAAGTGTTGTTTTAACCATTGAGACTCTGAGGCCAGGACCAGTTAGATCCACAGTGCAGCCCTGTGCTTGAGATTGCTCTCTTCTGGACTCGGGAGGACACTTGTTTATTTGGTAGAGTTTGTCCTGCCGTTGTGTTGGGTTTTTTGTGCTTATCCAGGCCAGCTTGACACAGTGAGAATAGCTTTAGAACTGAGCTCACTTTCTTAGAGGACTTTTTGTTACATCTCTGCAGTCCCATACATGCAACATGTATCAACAGATTTGGTTCAGGGCACAGCTTGTACTTGGAGTTTGCAAAAGCAGAGAGATTTGCTTACCCAGATTGCTTGCCTCTCATTCAGTCTGGATTTCAAATGTGCGTCTGCATTTGAGCACGTGTGGATGCTTCTTAGAACGATGACACCTCTCGTTTTATCCCAGTTTTTTTAAGAGGAGGTTGTGATGTGCTGGACTGTGAACACGTTGAAAGGGAGAAAACGTTTATGGGAATCTACTGACTTCTGCCTTGCATGAAAATGTTGCTATCGTGAGTAAGGAAAGACAAGGTACATGACACAAACTGGTTTAAAAACACAGCGGCTGTTTAAAGTTGGTGTCTCTCTGATATGCCTCAGCTGCTACCTGAGTCTGTTTATTTTTTCAAAGCTCTTTAATGGAAGGTCGCCTCTCCTGCTTCACTCTTTTTTAAGGTTCCCTGCACCAAACAAAAAGTTCCCATTGTTCAGGAAAGGGTTGAGGCATGTTTGCCAAAAAAGTGACAGGGGAAAAAATGTGCTTCATGGAGGCTAGGGGTGGGGGCACTCTGTCAAATCCTTCCCCCCCCCCTTTGGTTACAGCCATAAATCACACGTGGGGTTGGTTTTGTTTTTGAGAAAGTACTAATAAAACACCAGATTCTTAGTGTAACTTGTTTGGCTCATTTTTCACAGCCAGAAGAATTGATTTATAGTGCAACATCACAGCTACTTTGTCAAAGCGGATGAGTTTGGGGTTTGCAAAGGAAACAAGAAAAGCTTACTACGCTAGTAAGTTGAGCAGTGGGGTTGCTGAATTTCAGTGGCAGCATTTTTTTTCCCTATTTTAGGCCAAAAAATATACAGGTTTGGCTTTTATGCGCAAAATTCTGCTCTTGGTAACACCAGGATAAATCTGGAAGATCTTCACTAGCTTCGTTGGAAGCCCCCTGGAGTTGAGCATCTGCAGATTTTAAATTTGGGGGCCACAGCACTATTATAATGAGGCAACGTTGCTCTAAGGCAGAATGAGTGCTGAAATTGTTGGGATGACGTTTGAAATACAACAAATCGTGTACATCCAAGTCTTTCAGGGTTTTTCTAGGAGAGAAGTGGTTAAAAAGATTGGTCCTAGGGCGATGCATCTCCCAGGGGCATAACTAAAATTTCCAAATTCTGTGGTGGAAAGTACGTACACGTTCTTCTATTTTTACCATATTGGCTCTTCAAAGTAATGGCACGTTTCTGATCCCACTGAAGCTGGTGCCAATGTTCCCATATGTGTGAGCAGGATTTGACCTGATCTAAGTGCTTCTGTTCCACTAATGCACAGCATGTTTGAAAGTGTTTCTCTGTCGGTGGCAGCAGTTCAGAGTCTTCCCTCTGTAAGAAAAGAGATTTCACGCACGCACTTTTGATGTGCACAGTGTTACTGAAACAGCCCCGAAGGCTATAAAACCAGATTGATTTTTGGTAGAACATGCCCACGTGGAAAGCCACTAAAATGAAGAGGATCTGAAATATGCCTAGCAAAACTTTTTGGTTGGCTTGTCACAGTGTCCCGTTGTCCAGTCGGTTCTGGGCAAGGGGCGAGGTTTGAATGCACAGGGCGCTGTTGGGGAAAAGATTGTGCAAAAGAAACTGTATAAAGAATATAAACATTTGGAGCCAAGTAAAAGCACACTTTACTTTTCAATCTTTAAATTGAATGGTAAAAAGCAAATTCTTTCTCCTAGGCAAATGGGCCATGGGGTATTGGCTCATTACTGAGGGTTGTTGTTCACTAGCTTTTGCATTTACGGTCTAAGGCCTTATTTTCCATAAAGGGGCTTGGAAGGATTTTTCCCTAGTGATCTAATTCTCCACACGGGGCTGTGAAGGCTATAACAGCTACTGCTTTGTGCCTATACTCAGCTACATAAAACACACATTGAAGGGAGGCATTCTCGAGGTATGTGTATGTTTGCTAATATGAATACTAGCTATTAGTGGAGGTGGAAGGGGTGCAAGTTTTTACATCTCCACAGGGAGGTGTTCTGCTCTTGGCAGGAAGGAGGCAGATGGCGGGGCTGTTGCTGAATAGAATCCAAACTGAAAACACTAGGGGCCTCATCTGGGCTGAGTTTCTCTTCTCTCCTTTTCTCGGGGCTGCCGCAGGAAGAACAATGTCAAATTTTTTTATGAATGAAAGTAGAGAGGCAAGGCAGAATTGAATGTGTACGTCATTCACTGGCTATGACAGAGATGATTAGGGAGGTCAGTGAACTCCTTTGCTGCCTTGAGCATGCGGTCACTCTATTCAGCAGCCACAGAATAGACATCAATATAAAAAAGCCCTTCCAATTTGCATTAGTATTCAGATAAAGATATTACTTCGTACGATTGGTGAATGTCAAGTAACGCTAGTTGTGTTCTCGGAGAACCGGCAGATAGAAGTAGCAGCATTTCACTTTAACAAAAAAACAAAACAAAAACCAAAACTTCTGATCGCAGTCTTACCTTAATTGTCCCATCTGTGTCTTCCCCTTTCTCTCATATGTGTATGCACACAGCCTATTTAAAAAAGGGAATTTCCTTCTGTATTAGGGAAGTCACCTAACTAGCAGCTAAAGCTAGAGATCACAAAGGTTTATTGAGAGAAAGTAGATAATGAGCACTTTAAAAGAAAAAAATCAGAATGTGCTAGTGGTCTAACAACTGAAGTTTAGTTTGGGAGAACGCTTGCATGTGATCAGTTTCTGCCCAAGAGCTCGGGGAAGTTACTGTACTGCTCTAAGGAGGCAACTTGCCAAGCCAGGAAAAAACCCATACTGTTTTGGTTTTAACTTAGCATTAATATTTGAGTATTAATTGGGTCCTGCAACATTTTTACTTTGCAGTCCTGGTGGCATGCTTATGTAGACACTCTCTACAAGCAGCTGATGGCTATCCTGTTCTTCTTTTATTCTCCCCTGTGCTGGACTAGCTGGGGCTACACAGTGTAGAATATAATTATATCTCTGTCATTTTGTTTGCTGTTTCCCATGTTCAAAAGTCCACCAGGACATTTTTTATTACAGTTGAGTGAAATTTAATTGGCAGTCGTCATTGCTGCACTAATGTTCGAGAAAGGGTGTGCAAAACTTGAAGACCGTGTAAACCTGTGCCACTAGTAAAATAATGTTGCTTTCTACGTTGTAGTTACCACCTAAAAAAAGGTTTTGATGCATTGTTCCTACCTGCATGTTAT